GAGAGCTTGAAGGAAGTTGTCGAGTAACGCGCTGTTCACTTTCACCAGTTCATCGGCATTGGACCATACCGGAGCTCCTGGAGGGGGTTTTGGCTGCAAGTAGGAGTAGAAGAAGACATAGTCAGCTTTGACCCCAGCTGAGGCCATTGCGTCACCAATCTTTTGTGGATCGTCCAGGAAATCGACCGCCACATGTTGTACGCGGGACCGCTGAGACTCTGGAAGCAGAGCCATCATTTCCTTGGGAGGTGGGCGACGGGATAAGGCGTAGACTTTGCTCCAACGTTCGGGGCTATCAAGCAGCACCCGCATCGTATGAAAGCCGGAAATGCCATTGGCCCCAGTGACGATAGCGGTAAGGTCTTTGATGGATGGGTCGAAAGTTGGAAGGTTGTGGTAGATGCCTTTGTGCCGAACAGGGTAGCGTTCTGAGCCCATTGTGACGTTTGACGAAATATGAAGTCAATGTGATTTGTTTTGCGCTTGGGTGAGAGAGGCACCCAGCGGGAGTCATTCGTCCTTATATACTCCGTCCGTGGAAAGAAACGACGGGGTAAGGGAACAGGATCTCACCTCGGGTCAGGCCTCATTTCAGTCTAGGTTAGCGTTCAGGTCGACTTGCTTGACTGACATTATGCAATAACGCGGGGTTCGTCTCTCGTCTCCCATCCACCGGATGCGGGCTTGCTGTGGAACAATTGTCGTAATATGATTCGCCTCCAATCATCCCAAGAGACTCTAAGGTCTGGGCATCTGCGATCTGCGTTCGAGACCTGGTGAATAGTACGGAGTAGCAACCGGAGGGTGAGGAGGACAGCCGCGGATATAGTGCAAGATAGGGTTAAAGAAGGATTCGGTAATTGCCTGCACCCCAAGATGAACTGAAAACCGGATGTGGAGTCGGAGGATGACGCCAAGACGCTTATCTAATACACACGGAATTCTGGTGATATCACGTGATGGTGCGGAGAGATGTGCCTGCGTGCCGACCTTACACGATCCACGCGAAGGAAAACGCAGCTGGTCAAGCCAGCCAAACTCGGATATCGATGTGCCAGTGAGATACCAATCACTCACTTCCTCAGTAAAGCATTCAATCAACATGCTGAACTGGCATGATTTTGACGCAGTCTTTCAGCCAAAGACCGACTATGCCTATGACAACAGAACGGTAGAGGCTATCATCAGACACCGCAAGGAGTTCGGCGACCAGCTGTTCTTTGATCGCATTTGGAGGACGATTGGGCTTACACGACGTGAGACCTAGCTTTATATCAACATGAGTCAGGGTTACTAACCGAATGGCAGCTGCAAGGAATAACTATCCACCACGGTCAAACCACGATCTGCGCAATTTGTGGTCCAAGATCGTCCAGTCCACGGCTCCCGATGAGCAGAAACTCGCACTTCTCTACTACTTGCTCAGAGACTGTCGCCAATTGCCAAACTCTGACTCAAACTTCGCCCGGAGAACATACCTCCCCCGGAGATGGCAACTTCTCGTGGCTGGCTTGTGGGAACTCGATCACGGTCAGTTCTCTCGCGCCCTCGAACACCTGACAGACCCATCGTTGACACCCACCTTCACCGATGAGATCCTCCTTGCCTTGTTGCGACATCCAAAGTGCGATCCTTCGTTGGCGACAGCGTACTACGTTGCTATGTCTCCACCACTGGAAGATCCGGCAGCTCTTGAAGCATATTTTGAGTTGGTCATGACCAACAGCCTGGTGGAAGCATATTATTTTGCAAAAAAACAAAGCGGAACGAAACACAGAGTGCTGTTTGAGAAACTTGTTGTTTCCGTACATCAGGACAACCCTACCCATTCTCGTTCAGAGCGAGCTACCCTTCTTGTCGGGATGCCATTGACTGTGGAGGAGGAGGCATGGTTCGAGCGGTGCATACTTGATGGTGCAGCATCCAAGCTGCCCGGCGCGAAGGACTCGCTCATGGTAAGGAGAATCATTACCGGGAGATCAACAAGCGACTTTCCCGCCCTCAGCAGGCTGAAAGGCGACAGCATTGGAGGGATCAATTGGGAGAATGTGAAGGCAGGAATTGCCGATGCTGTCTCACAGTGATATCAACACAGCTTCCAGCCTCTTCAAACCGACAATGTGATCGACCAAACAAGGCCTTTCTGTCGGAGATATCAATGAGCTCCTCTACAACTTTTCAAGGGTCACCGGATATATCCCGCTGCACTCGAATGTTAGCTTGCTTTTGCCGCGCTATTAAGGCCCGTGATGACGCACAACTTGGACAAAACCGGGAATGGCCGCGTGTACCAAAACATCGCTTTTCCGTTGCAGCGCATGGAGGACATCCTCACACCGCAGTCAATATCCCTGAGCTTTATCTTCCATCAAACATCTTTGCTGCCGTACCCGAAGGCGGCGCAAAAACCATGGTGTACTCTCCTTTCATGCGGCGCGCCTCGCACCCTCGTGCCCCAAAATATCTCGCCGCCTGAAATTACCAATATTGAAGACTTGGCTGAGTGTGAAAGGGATTCCACCAGTTGTGAAAGTTTTGTTTGAGTTGTGAACGAGAAGTCGACCAAAGTAAACGCTCGCCAGTGCTGGGAAGGTCCCGTTCTATGAAAATATATTTCATTCAACCAAGACACCCTCTCACAGACGAGCTCTCTCAACCTTTTGAGCTCTTCACTCACAGCCGCCAATGCTCCCAGTTTTTTTGCTTTGCTGTCTGTCGACAGTGTTAGCCGTCAATCCATTAGTCCACCTCGAATACGCGTCTTACAAAGGCACAGCTCTCCCGAACGGGGTCACTCAATGGCTCGGGATGCGATATGCTGCGCCGCCGACGCGAAGTTTGAGGTTTGCTGCTCCCCAAGATCCTCCTGGCGTCGGCAGCATCCAAGTAGCTGACAAGGTGACTTCCTTTCTGCCCAACCATTCGGTACTTAGCCATGACTAACCAGCCTCCAGCACGGCGCCATCTGTATTGGAACGGGCAGCAACGCTCACGACCCAAGATTCTCCGAAGACTGTCTCTTCCTCGACGTCTATGCTCCGAGCCACGTAACCGACACATCAAAACTGCCAGTCTATTTCTTCATCCAAGGCGGTGGCTTCAACTTCAACTCAAATGCAAATTATAACGGCAGCAGCTTGATCACCGCGTCTGGCCACGGGCTCGTCGTCGTGACCTTTAATTACCGGGTTGGCCCATACGGGTTCCTCGCCAGCCGCGAGATCGAAGACTCTGCATCCGCCAGCGTAAACAACGGGCTAAAGGACCAACGCAAAGCACTTGAATGGGTGCAGAAGTACATTTCTCAGTTCGGCGGAGATCCAAAGCATGTTGTTCTCGGTGGAGATTCCGCGGGCGCCGCATCCATCGCCTACCATTTAACCGCGTACGGTGGTCGAGACGACGGATTATTTGTCGCTGCTGCTGCCGAATCGGTGAGCTTCGCGCCCATCCTGACCATCCAGGAAAGTCAATATCAATATGACAACTTTGTGAAACGTCTAGGCTGTGCGCCTCGCACCACAAGTCAAGATTCAACCATGAAGGATGATACGCTGTCGTGCCTGCGGTCCAAGAGTACAGCAGAAGTCCAGGCGCAGAACAACAACCTACCCTATTCAGGTGCTCAACACCCACCACTTTACATGTGGAACCCAGTCCTCGACAATGAGCTGATTCAAAACTACACCTACGTCGCCTTTGACAATGGCGACTTTATCCGCATCCCTGTCTTGTTCGGCGACGACACTAACGGAGGAACGGTTTTCACCCCTCGAAGTACATCCAGCCTCGCTCAATCCAACACATTCCTCCACGATCAATTCCCCAACTTGACTTTCGAACAGCTTCGACAAATCAATCAACTCTATCCGAACAAAGGCCCACAATTCCCCAACTCTGGCTCATGGTGGAGACAAGTCTCCAACGTGTACGGGGACATGAGGTATATGTGCCCGAACCTGTTTATCTCGTCAGCTTACTCCCGCTACGGCGTCCAAGGAAATTGGAACTATTGGTACAATGTGCACGACGCTGCTCAGGTCCGTCAGGGGCTGGGCGTCCCGCACACGGTCGAACTCTCTGCGATCTGGGGGCCCGAAAACACGAACGGCGCAGCCCCGCCGAGTTACCGACAAGGAGGACCGAATGCTTGGATCGTGCCGCTGATGCAGAGTTACTGGATCAGCTTCATTCGGACACTCGATCCGAACCCTTTGAGGATGCAAGACGCCCCGGTATGGCAAGAGTTCGTGGTCCCTGATGAGGAGGACAGTGCCTCCGCCAGCGACAGTGATGGTGACATTGGTGATAGCGGTAGTGGTGCCGGTGATGGTAACTGGATGAGAATGCTCTTCGACACGGCCCAGACAACGGACATGGTGGAGGTTAGCACGGCGGTCAGGAAGAGGTGCCATTACCTCAATTCCATCGGCTTGGCTCTCAAGCAGTAGGAGCCGGCAGGGCGAGTGAGCAATTCGTGTGACCTTTTGGAACCAGTGTCGCGGCGTGGACGTCGTGGCGGTAGTTACCGTTTTGGACGCACGACTGCGTTGCGTTGGGATGCGTTGCCGGCAGGATACAGACCCATAGAAGAGGCGGCGCGAAACAGCGCAGCATAGACAGACTGCCTACCTACCTTAGGTACCTGCCTGGGATAGGGATACGGCTGTATAAACTACCCACCAAGGCAGATAACTATGCAGATGCTCCGTATACCCAAAAACCGGACCGAATACATCAGATCCTTCAAAGTCTACTCCGTCCATCGTTCCATCATGGACATGAACCATGTATGTGGGAACAAAAAAAAACAGATTTCAGACATATGCGCGGGTGTATATATGTGAATATTCTACTATGCCACAGGTGCTCTCTGCCACTCTTCATCTGACATCCACATAACTTTGGTATTCGCATTGCATTGCTCCAAATATTTCCAGTCTATATAAGCATATTTATATATGTCAACCTGCACTCCCCTCTTAACACGTCGCTTGGCTTTACCAGATAGCTAGGCATCTCAACTCCAGACTCTCCCTGGGCTCCTCGTCCTCGGTGCCCGGCAGGTCGACGCTGGAGTGCAAGGTGCCACCCGCGGCGACAGTCTCCTTGTCCCGATCGCTGTCGAAGAGGCCAATCACCAACACCTCCTCGGGCTCTTGGTGGCTGATAAAGTACCATTTCTGGCCCGGGGACCATCGGGCAAGGTATGATTCGGTGTCGTGCGTTTCTTTCGAGTCCGGGGAGATGCCGAGGTTGGGCGTCTTCACCACGACGGGGACGTAGTCGCTCTGCAGGAACGTGCGTGCGTCGCCCAGCGCGAGAGGGTCGCGGCGCACGCGTTTCAAGGGTCGCCAGATGGAGTACAGCGCCCAGCGGGGTCCCAGGCCCGAGGACGCGTACTCTTCTCTCAGCGACTTACCCTGGGCTAACAGTTTCTCCTCGGCCTCGATGATAGGCTGGGCAGTGGCAGTCATTGTGGGATGATATTTTCTCAAATGCGTCCGTGCACCGTTGGGCGCGTAGTCAAGATGGACTTTCGGGGCGGGACTGGCGCCGCCGTGTCGTGGAGAGAAACCGATGAACTGTGGGAAGCCAAGTTCGAGTTCCTTCTCCTCTGGTGACTTCTCTTGCGGATGCTCCGCTTCTTTCTGGTCCCCGTGGCCAGCATGTGTCGCGAGGGCGTCGGCCTCGGACCATATGGCGCTGCGAAGCAGAAGTGCTTCAGTGATGACGGTCTTTGCGCCCGTGACTTGTTTGACCATTTCTTCCGTCTCAGGGACGTAGAGCTCCTTGAGCAGTTTGGGGTCGTTCCAGCTCGCGCGGGTGTAAGGGGCGGCATTCATGGTTGTCGGGTGACGGATGGCTGCGAAGCCGTGGGTGTCGAGCTGGGCAGTGCCTTCCTTTGCATTGGGCAGTTCGGAGATGGTTGGGACGGGGCGCATGTCTATGAGAGGTTGGAGTCGGACGTCCCCGAACTCGGCCATGGCAGGGAGATGGAAGTTGTGGGGAGACGGGGTGGGTGTCTGGCCCTGTGGGATGTAGCGGAGCTTTCCATAGTATTGGGGCTCGGAAGAAGGAGCAGTAGAAAGGACTTGGGTGAGGGTGGTGGTGGTGGTTGTGGACATGATGACGGCGGTGAGGTTGGTTAGACAAGGCAAGATGCGGGATTTGGAGCACGAGGACAAGATAGATGGAACGAGTTACCTTGGTAAGAGAGGGTCAAGATGGATGTTATATACCTACAGTCACGAGTAAGACACAGTGGACGCGGCAAGGCACCTGTCAGGGTTTCTACGAGGTGTTTTGTGATAAGACGAGAAAGGCAAGAGAGGGAGAGAGAGTCGCAGTCGAGGGGTTGACTGAGTGAGTGAACCGAGTGGTTGATTGATAGCGACGCGGTGGGTGCGCAACTCCGCCGGGCAAATCAGCCAAACCAGCCAAATCACCCCGCAGCCGCAGTCGCATATCCCAACACCCAGTTCCTGATCAGGCAAGAGAGATATGCACCTTCAACCAACTCGTCCATTCCAAGGCCGTCTGTGGCCAAAGCAGAAGCTGATGCTCAACGTGCGGCCTCAGCACTGAATATCGTCTCCCCTTCCTCTTCCGCACACTCGAGAAGTCACGAGAGACAGCTCGTCGCCCGAATGACCAGGGACGTCTGTCGATCAACCCACATCATCATGGCCTCACCGTCTTCATCCAAGGCTGAGCAAATCTGGATAAGAGCCTCTCACGCGCTTCGTTAGAGACAAGCGAACCGTTTCCGATTTCAGGTCTGAGTAAGCATTGGCTGCAGTGATCGAGCTCGCATTTGGCGGGAAGAGGTGGCGGAAGAGATGGCAGAATAGGTGCCGGACGACAAACGCCCGGTCAATGGTTCATCAGACATTCCGGCGGCACTGAATGCATCACATTGCTTGCTCAAGAGGAACTCACAATTCTCATAGTCATGGAGGCCTTCATCAACTGCCAACGGAGAGATCCAGCAGTGAGACCAAAGCCTTCTAGGCCCTTGAGGCCAAACTCTTCGTCAGAGAAGTGACCAGATCTGGAGCTCAGAACACCAACAACCCACCCAAAAGGGAGACAAATGAGAAAGAGAACCGGCCCAAGCATTTTAAAAGCGCCACATCCACTGGGACCTTCACAATCACTGATCATGGGACAATCAACCGGCCCTTCCATCCCCGAGTTGTGGAAGAAACGCACTTGTAGACACAGGCCCAGGGCGGCCCAATCACTCAAGACATGGCAACCAAGTTAGACATTGGTCAGCGGTTTGCACTCGCAGTCTCTTGGCCAAGACACAGACGGCAAACCCCCTTTCTGCGGTTGATTTTCCGGTTGCAAGAAACATCTCCAAAGGAATGTACTCACATGCTCCCCTGCTGGGTGTAGGCCAAGATCAACCATCACGTACGAGACCAAGCGTCTCAACCTGGCCAATAGAAAGGCGGTCATTTCCATCGGCCCTTGCACCACAACGATTTGTCGTTTCCACTTCAGATGGGACCCCCTCCTCAAGGCATGTCCGTGCCAGATCTCCTCGGTAAAGCCACCCCTGACTCGATCCCCCGTACGGCACCAGGATGGATCAGATGAGATCAAACGGCTCTATCCGCCACATGCAAAGCAGCTCTTCATCGTGTCGGATCAGGACACGGATACTTTCGTTAAAGACTCGATCGACGCAGGTCCCGGCAACCTTGCATAAGATGGTTAGCCTGTCCTGGGCCTCGAGATTGGGTAGATCTGGGACAAGCAGATCCAACACTTGGAACCACCTTGGATGAGTTCATCAACGAGTATCCAGTAGAAGGATGCGAGGCTTGTCTGTTGCGGAGTACAGTCTTCGGACTGGATGAGCTGGTCATGACGGTGGGCTTCCGGGACGGAACTGAAGAGATAACAGAGCGAGACAAAGCGTGCCAGATTGGAGCACGAATTGGATCCGTCCAGCCTTGCGAGTCGAGACCTTGGGATTGAGATAGATAGAGTGGCAGGGGTATCTGCTCACTTCGACCCTACGCGAGCTGCGGTATTTTCTTTCTCTTTTCTCCTCTGGTGCAGCAAACCTAGGGAAACAAGTCCGATATCGAGCTCTTCGTACTCATGGCCTTCCTTCGTTCTCTCGTGGATATCGCCGGGTTGTCGATTCTCTTCTCCTCCATGAGAAATAGGCTGATGAAAGTCAATCGGTGGTCAGGGAGGCGCGAACCCTAGAGTCCGGACAGCCGAGAGCAACGCGTTTCGCAGCCGTATTCAGGGATCCCGTAGCCAGACTTCAATACCGCTATACCTGATGCGGCCTGTGATGATCGCTTCCTCACACCACCCGACAAACCTTCTGAGGGGTTGACACCTGCCGCATCGAACAAAATCCTCACATGTCGATGCTGGGCGTCGTTGTGCATCTCCTGATGTTGAATTATTTCTCTTGGCCAATCCAATTACCATCACATCATGTCAGCGGCATGGTGCCCTTGTTCCAACCCTGCAAAAGGGCTGCAGAGCTGGCCAGCTGTTGGCTCCATCACGTCGTCCATTGGCTGGACTGGCGAGAAGCTGTCCCCAGCTTCATGCATCGCCGCCGTCGTCGCCGCGCTCGAACCCCTCTTCAGCCCAAGGAGCTCTCGGGAAAAACAGTCAGCTTTGCTCACGATGCAGGCTCCCCAGCATCTGCTGCATATGCTTCGGATCACTCATGACGCCCAGCTCACTTGTAACCTGGTTCGGCCACGTGCAGGGGTTGAGCTGCTCGCATTGAATGCAACCGATATGCTGCATAACTGTAGCCTGTAGCCGAGAATGGAGCATGGAGGAGGGTGCATGGTAAAAAGATGTCGCTCATCCCCATCGTGATGCTTCTCGACCGCCGCCGACTAGATTAGCAATGGATGAGGACACGGTGCCTGCCGCCGTCCGTTACGAGCGGGTTCCTCGTTCCTTGTTGTCATGATGCATTGGGTTTCAATACCAAGTAGGCAGTAATTGGGATCATCATCAATTGACTCGTTCGTCGTATATAACCCTGTCCTCACTTCCCTCTGGCGTCACTTCAACCTCAGTCTTTTCTCACCACAAGCTCACTTTCCACCAACCCCTTCCTCTCCCCCTCTTCTATAGATTTCCTACTTTGAATCAATTGCCGCCTGCCTCTCCTTCTCCTTCTCCTTCTCCTTCTCCTTCTCCTTCTCCTTCTCCTTCTCTTCCGCCATGGCGTCCACGCAAGATGTCTCCGCCGAGAGCATCTCGCCCTTTGGCAAGGCCCGCTCTACTGTCAAGGGCGAGCCCCTCAGCAGCGAGGAGCTGAAGCTCCAGGATGATTACATGCGAGCCAGTCTCTATCTCTGCCTCGGCATGCTTTATCTCAGAAAAAATGCCCTCCTCAAGGAGCCGCTCAAGGTCGAACATCTGAAAGCCAGACTCCTCGGACACTGGGGTTCTGACGCCGGCCAAGTCTTCACCTATGTCAACATGAACCGCTTGATCAAAAAGTATGACCTCGATGTCATCTTCATCTCGGGCCCGGGCCATGGAGCCCCCGCCGTGATTTCTCAGGCCTATCTTGAGGGTGTCTATAGCGAAGTTTACCCGGACAAATCCGAAGACGAAGAAGGCATGCAAAAATTCTTCAAGCAATTCTCCTTCCCTGGGGGCATCGGCAGCCATGCGACCCCCGAGACACCGGGTAGTTTGCACGAAGGAGGTGAGTAACTGAACCACCATGGCACTGCTGGCGCAACCTGACTTTCTGGCCAGGGGAGCTCGGCTACAGCATTTCACATGCCTTCGGAACCGTTTTCGACCATCCCGATTTGATCGCCTTGACCATGGTCGGCGATGGTGAGTCCGAGACTGGTCCTTTGGCTACCAGCTGGCACAGCACCAAATTCCTCAACCCCATCACCGACGGCGCCGTCCTCCCCGTTCTTCATCTCAATGGCTACAAGATCAACAATCCCACCGTTCTCGCCCGTATCAGCCACAGAGAGCTGGAAGCGCTGTTCATCGGTTACGGGTGGACCCCGTACTTCGTAGAAGGAAGTGATCCCCTGAGCATGCACCAAGCAATGTCTGCTACCTTGGAGAAATGCGTCTTGGAGATTCGAGCTCATCAGAAGAAAGCACGCGAATCAGGAAAGGCGTTCCGACCCCTGTGGCCCATGATCGTCCTTCGAAGCCCCAAGGGTTGGACAGGACCGCGAACGGTGGACGGTCACTACCTCGAAGGGTTCTGGCGAGCCCATCAGATTCCCCTCCCAGATGTTGCCTCGAGCGCGGAACACCTGAAACTCCTTGAACAGTGGATGAAGAGCTATACCCCCGAGAAGTATTTTGGCGAAGACGGCAAACTGATCCCCGCTTTGAAGAAGCTGGTTCCAGAGGGCACAAGGCGGATGAGCGCCAACCCTGTTGCCAACGGTGGACTCTTGAAGAAGCCCTTGCTCATGCCCGACTTCCGTGACTACAAGCTGGCAGTCGAGAAAGGAGGCATCACGGAGGCGCCAAGCATGTCGAACATGGCGATTTTCTTGCGAGACATCGTCGCGAAGAATCCGCACAACTTCCGTCTTTTCGGTCCTGACGAGACCGAATCGAACAAACTTGCCGGAGTCTACCAGGCCGGCAAGAAAGTGTGGATGGGTGAATATTTCGAAGAAGACGAGGACGGCGGCAACCTGGCCTTCGATGGCCGCGTCATGGAAATCCTCAGCGAGCATACCGTTGAAGGTTGGCTGGAAGGCTACCTGCTGTCTGGACGCCACGGCATGCTCAACAGTTACGAGCCTTTCATCCATATCATCGATTCAATGGTCAACCAGCACTGCAAGTGGATCGAGAAGTGCCTCGAAGTCGAATGGCGTGCCAAGATTGCGTCTCTCAACATCTTGTTGACGGCAACAGTCTGGCGTCAAGATCACAACGGCTTCACCCATCAAGACCCGGGCTTCTTGGACGTTGTGTGCAACAAATCCCCCGAGGTCGTGCGTATCTACTTGCCACCGGACGGAAACTGTCTGCTGTCGGTCATGGACCACTGCTTCCGAAGCAGCAACTACGTCAATGTCATTGTCGCCGACAAGCAGAACCACTTGCAATACCTGGACATGGAGGCTGC